TGATGATAATTCTGCGCGCGTTACCCCACCCACTTGTGGTATAGTGACGAAAGTGCGTCGCGACTTGATTACTGTCAGACATCTGGGCAAAGAAGTTTAAAATGATATATTTTAAAAGTGTTGAATAAAAAAACAAAATTAATATCTAAGAAATGTTCCGAATTTCATTATTTTCTTTGTAAATTTCTGAATACTTGCTTACTGTTCGGGTATGTTAGTCGAGTGAAAAAAATAATATGGCCCTAGATATGTTTTAAAAAGATATTCAGTATCATTTACTTAATATAACATCAAAAGAAAAAGAAATTTTTATTACAACATGTTTTCGTTGTATATTTGACAATACATTTAGTATAACACTGATATTTCTTAAGAAAGCGTGGTAATTTTGACAGTTGGCATATGCGGTAACCATGGAAACAACCCGTTTACAAAAAATAACACGTCAACATATATATTTTATTTCTATTTTTGAATCCACCATCAAATGTTACTTGATATATCAATAATGTAGAAAATTCTATGAAAGAAATTTCTTGATAGCTTTAATTTTTTACAGAATTCATGTTTATTTTTCTCATTTTTTGTTTAGTTAAAAGTATGAAAACCTATTTTTTAAAGAAATATGTTCCAATTATCGTTTGTTTTATACAGAACCCTAAGATAAAGCAAGCTTTGTATAAAATTATGTTTATTGTGAGTGTAATAAGCTATTTTTTATACATTATTATAACACAGTTTGGCTATTTTGATAATTTTGAGATATACGGTTACCATGGAAACTGCCATTTTTCAAATTTTTTGAATTTGTTATTAAATTTTACACAACATATAAAAAAATTAGAAAATCCTATGAAACACTTTTTTCAATATCTCTAATTATTCTCAGAATTCATGTTTATTTTTCTCATTTTTTTTTCGGTTGAGGAACATGGAAAACTCATTTTTTAAAGAAATATGTTCAGATTATCATTTGTTTCATACAGAATCATTAGATAAGATTATCTTTGCATAAAACAATGCTCGTTGTGTGTTTTAAGCTATATTATACATTTTCTATTCGTTATAACACAGTTAGGCTATTTTGACAGTTTTTAGATATACGGTTACCATGGAAACTGTCATTTTACAAGAAATCCAACACGTCAACATATATTTTTCTTTTTATTTTTAAATTCGTCATTAAATTTTACTCATCGTACAAAAAATTTAGAAAATTCTATGAAAGGATTAATTTTTCATAAAACTGTAGAAAATGTCTTTAAATAGATAAATACAGAATCCCTAAAGAAAGCCCAACACGGCAAAATTGAAAATGTTGCAGGCTCGGTTTGATTGAGCCTGTTCATGGACGGTACTGGAAAGTGTAAGTTACCGTCCACGCCCCCTAGCACCGGCTTAAGCAGAATTCAACATTTAAACATGAAATACATGTAGTAAAATTTTGAATTTAGCAACATCCGCAGATGTGTTCATACGGCGGTTATCATGGAACCTTCAATGTGACACTTCAGTGCCATTCCATGAAAAGCGGCGTATGGTCCCCAAGTAATAAAAAGCGTGTGCCCTAAACGAGAAAACAATGGGCGGAACTTAATAAAATGGAATTTTGAAAGGGGAGCAGAGGTTATGAAGCCTGCGTATCACAGATAACACGTCAAAAGACAAATTTAAAAAGCAGGAAACATATCCTAAGGGTGATTAAACATTATTCAAGTAGGAATATTGGAACCACCCAACTAGAAAATGCCGAAAAGTTGAAACTAAAAATACCACAAGCACAACAATATTGTCGTGCTGAACGATCTTCAAGGATCGAAAATATAACATCATTGACCAAATGTACGGAGAGACTTTTTACAGCCGCCACACGGCACAAATAACACAGATGTGATCATAAAATAGATAAATACAGAATCCCTAAAGAAAGCCCAACACGGCAAAATTGAAAATGTTGCAGGCTCGGTTTGATTGAGCATGTTCATGGACGGTACTGGAAAGTGCAAGTTACCGTCCACGCCCCCTAGCACCGGCTTAAGCAGAATTCAACATTTAAACATGAAATAGTAAAATTTTGCATTTAGAAACATCCGCAGATGTGTTCATACGGCGGTTATCATGGAACCTTCAATGTGACACTTCAGTGCCATTCCATGAAAAGCGGCGTATGGTCCCCAAGTAATAAAAAGCATGTGCCCTAAACGAGAAAACAATGGGCGGAACTTAATAAAATGGAATTTTGAAAGGGGATCAGAGGTTATGAAGCCTGCGTATCACAGATAACACGTCAAAAGACAAATTTAAAAAGCAGGAAACATATCCTAAGGGTGATTAAACATTATTCAAGTAGGAATATTGGAACCACCCAACTAGAAAATGCCGAAAAGTTGAAACTAAAAATACCACAAGCACAACAATATTGTCGTGCTGAACGATCTTCAAGGATCGAAAATATAACATCATTGACCAAATGTACGGGGAGACTTTTTACAGCCGCCACACGGCACAAATAACACGGATGTGATCATAAAATAGATAAATACAGAATCCCTAAAGAAAGCCCAACACGGCAAAATTGAAAATGTTGCAGGCTCGGTTTGATTGAGCATGTTCATGGACGGTACTGGAAAGTGCAAGTTACCGTCCACGCCCCCTAGCACCGGCTTAAGCAGAATTCAACATTTAAACATGAAATAGTAAAATTTTGCATTTAGAAACATCCGCAGATGTGTTCATACGGCGGTTATCATGGAACCTTCAATGTGACACTTCAGTGCCATTCCATGAAAAGCGGCGTATGGTCCCCAAGTAATAAAAAGCATGTGCCCTAAACGAGAAAACAATGGGCGGAACTTAATAAAATGGAATTTTGAAAGGGGATCAGAGGTTATGAAGCCTGCGTATCACAGATAACACATCAAAAGACAAATTTAAAAAGCAGAAAACATATCCTAAGGCATTATTCAAGTAGGAATATTGGAACCACCCAACTAGAAAATGCCGAAAAGTTGAAACTAAAAATACCACAAGCACAACAATATTGTCGTGCTGAACGATCTTCAAGGATCGAAAATATAACATCATTGACCAAATGTACGGGGAGACTTTTTACAGCCGCCACACGGCACAAATAACACGGATGTGTTCATAAGATATATAAATACAGAATCACTAAAGAAAACTTAATTTTAATAAAGTTTTTTCAAATGCTCGACATTACAAAATGGTCAAAACAATAAAAGCCAATGTCTGGTCTTATCAGACATACGAATTATAAACAAGGTTTAGAGTAAGATTAAACAATGTTCATAATTATGATTAAACAATAAAATATTGTACAGTCCAGATTACCCAGTAAACAAACTATCACGATGCTTTTCTAACATTTGAAAGAAGGCTTTGGTACAGTAATTTCAATGGCATCCTCATTCAGAAGTATCCTTATCTTTTTAACATCATCTTCACTATCAAAATTAATAAAATGTTGACATGCTTTAACAAAATATCCGGTGTCTTAAATTAATACATAGAGGACAGTACAGTAACACATGCATCTCATCCTCAACTACATTAATTCCAATATTGATAAAAAATGAACATTTTTTATTCTCTAACATAACATTATCATATCACCCAATCTCAACATTGATTTGGGTTGTACCGCTACGAAACTTGCAAGTGCATCTCTATGTGATCGATTTAATACTAATTTACGGTATGGCTCAACATGAAAAGAACTTTTGAACAATCGGCAGAACCTTGGTTTATTTCTACCATTTCCACTCTGGGCAATCACACGATTAACATCGGCCAATTTTTACAGTTTCTATTACATGCATTATTTGACCAAACAAACACTTTTCTGTTTATTCCTTCACTTGACATATTTAATAATCATAGCTGTTTTTTAACCCTACAGATCATTAGTTGCCACCCAATATCACCAGTTACAGAAGCATTTGAAGTATTTACCAACGTTCAAAAATATCTTGCTGTTCTATGTTGGATAGCATTTTTACATTAAAGGTCCTCAGTTGCTCATACGTAATAATTGGTACAATAGTTGGATATGGAAAATCACCAACTGAGCGCGCCCTCGCTTAATGATTTATATGTGTGTATTATAAATAAAAATATAAAAAAGCATTTTCTTAATTAATTTATTTACTTATATACGGACCGCTGTTATTATACATATCGAATTGTCATAGGATTTTATTTTACTTGTCCGTCAATATAGACATTATGAACTTTATTAATGTACATGTATAATTACAGGAGTAAAATTTACATGCGATATCATGGTTTGGACAATAATGTTAATTGTTAGTGTGTCTTTATTTATCTGTAATATGCAAGCCCAGATAATGTCAATTTTTACCGTTTTTAATTCATGGTCATGCATTGTTTTTGGAACACCATATGGTTAGGTCATTCTAAAATCATTTTGCAATATACCAATCGTACCAACAATACAGAGGCTTTGTAGTAATTCAGGTTCATGACACTGAACCTTAATGAAGTATAATAACTGTAAGGTCAAAATAATAATATATGAATTACAAAGCAGTTTTTGTAACATATACCGGCAAAGATACAATATGTTTCAAACATATAGGGCTTATAAATGATGACATGATAACAAGATAATACAAGAAAACAAACTGTACACATGTCAATACACTAACATACTTAACATATCATGTAAGCAGATGTATTTAAAACTGAGGATAAATGTTTTTATAAAATTTATTTTTCAAGCTGTGTCACACATAAATATACTGTCATATGAAAACATAATCACTGGTGTCATGATAATCACCGTTTTCACTTCCATACATAAACAACTTTGTAAAACAATATCAAAGTGGTTGTTGAAAAGAAATAGACGATGTCTTAAACATGGAAGAAAGATACTATGTAAAACATATTGTTATTTATATCGACGCTAAGTATATTATCAGTATGAAACGGCCCAGTTTGCTCACTTGCATATTTTATATTATTGATAAACGATAACATTTTGTACAACATCACTGTTTAAGTGAGTAAATATTAGTTTGATATAGTTTTGATAAAATACGGTGAATATGTGATACTGATTAAATGAAGACTTACAAAACAAGTTATCAAGTCAAAAAGAGCTTTAGAACGCATTGAAAAAAATATGGATTTAACTGTCTTTCTGTTGGTGATAGCAATATTTTGTATAACATTGTACTTTGTAAGAACCCCTAGCAATTTACCACCCGGACATTTTAAATTTCCAATCTTTGGTTCAATATTTTTACTGCACAAACTGTCAAAAAGAAGACATCACTTAGTGTTTGCTGATGAGGCTAGAAAGTATGGAGGTGTTTTCCGTTGGTATTTAGGGAATCAAATGTTTGTTGTTCTAAGTGAAATTAACGTCATAAACGAGGCTCTGGTGAAGAAAGCAGAAATATTCAGCGACAGACTTAGAGCGAAAGGAGGGATAACAGGTGCATCAAAAGGTAGGTTTTCGTTTTCATTCATTTAGGCAAATGTTGCCCTTGAACTTATATATTTCTTCTCACCTTTATCTTGAATGTGTTTAATTAATGTTCTTTCAATACTGGTTTTATTACCTTTTTGATTTCAAAATGAAGAATTGAACATTATTTTTAAAAACTTGTTTAAAAACCGTTTAAAGAAAATACATGAGAGAAATACATGAAATACTTACATAAGCTATAATTTCTTATTGAACTTTCGAAAAATTATAAAACATGTACAGGTAAGCTAAGATAACCCTGTAAATAACAATAAAAACTATTTTTCAATAACCTTCATTGATTAAATAGAACAATAACCCCCAAAATAACGACAACTTAAAAGCCAATGTTTGGTATCTCTTTTAGGTGACCTTTGTTCACAGGTTTTACTGTAAGTAAAAAGCGAGACTACTAAGTGTTATGAATATAAGAATATTCGTATCATAACTTACATTGTACAGCTGTACGCGCTATGTATTTGTGAGAAATTTCACATCGAGTTGAAAAGATGTACAGTTACTGAAGTTTAATAACATTCAATTAAGATTATTTGAATATTTCAGATAGTTAATATTTTTTAATATATGTTTTAAAATATTTTTCACTTATAAAAATTAATATAAAATACATTTTGGTGTGTTACTCGATTATTTAGCATGATGAGTTTTAAACTATTGCAGGTATAGTGTGGAGTAATTACGGCCAACATTGGCGGGTACTGAGGAAGTTCACGCAACGAGCACTACATGATTTTGGTGTCGGGAGAAGATCTTTAGAAGAGAAAATAAATTTTGAGATTCAGGTCGTCACTGGTGTACTTGAAGCAGCCAATGGTCAACCTGTATCCATTAGCAATCTCATGCGGAACGTAGCTGCTAACGTCAATTATGAAATAATTTTTGGTAAAAGGTAATCATACAAGAACTAAATCCAGTGAAATATTGAATATTTGATTTACAATGCATACTGCGGCAACAGATTTCACTCAAAATGAAATATTTCTTTAGAAAAAAAGCGATAAAAATTTTAGGTGATTTAATTTGTAAAAAAATAAATATATTTAGAATAATAATATGTTGTTTTGAAACAAATTTTAATCTGCTATATCTAAAAATGGTATATCGGATCATGTTTCTCACTATGACCAAAAAAACAAAAACGAAAAAAAAAAAAAAAACAAAAAACAACAACACACTAACACACAAATAGAATCATTTTGTAGTCACATGTTCCATATGATACTGAATACTATCAGTCTGTCAACATATTACAGACCTTCCATTATGGGATAATTCACTATGTGACGCGTCGTGTTAAGTGACGCAGCTTATTTAAATACGCCATATCACATGTTGCGTCTTAATGTCTATCATTATAAAACATAGCGTTGTCCGCAAATTCCGACCCCTTTTCCTTATCATTTGTGACGGGCATATTAAATAAATTTGCCAAACTGCTGTTTCAATAAATCTTCACTGTACAACCTTAGGTTCGACTACGATGACCCAGAATTAGATCGGATCACGGAGTTATCAGATGTTCTCAACAGTGCTTCGTTATTCAGTGCTGCTTTCTTTTTGCCGGAGTTCCTGGCTAAATTCGTCAAGAAATCGGTAATTATGTACCTTAGAGTTGTCAGGAATAAACTTACTCTGAAATTAAGGATAATTGTTTTTCCCCCAGCTTATCCGTATGTACAAACAAATTTTCACAATTACAGCTTTGAAAAAGGTCAACATATTAACTAATTTTTTAATCTATTATGACGGGTAGTGCTCTTTAACGCTACGGAAAATAAAAGATGTACCTTTTTATATGTTTAAATATGTTTAATGCATGCTGAATGTGCTAGAGTCCTTCATTTACGAAAACTTTACTGTTTAGAACGCAGATAAAGTAAAGTAAAGGTTGGACGTAGCATGTCCAATAGCAGGCTTGTAACTTCTGGAGTTCCTCAGGGATCTATTATGATCCCTTTTTATTCTTATTACACACTAATGATATAACTACTGAAAATGGTAATATAGATCTTAATGCTGACGATTCTACCATATATGTATCTGATCATGATTTTAATGTAGTAGAAAGTAAACTTCAACAAAATTTGGATGCCATAGATCGATGGTGCAATTTAAACAATATGTTAATCCATCCAAATAAAATAAAATGCATGATATTATATACGAATTGAAAATGGAGTATTGTAATGAACTTACTTTATGTATTGCAAAACAAAAAAAATAAAAATACAAAAATATGTGTTTATATTAATAATAATTTGTCATGGAATTACCAAATTGAAGCACTTTGTTAAAAACTTAACTCAAAAATAGCATTATTGACGCGTATACCTTATTTATTTATGTGACAGACAAAATGAAACAGTAATTAAATAATGCATATATTATGTCGAATTATGATTATTTTAGTACTGTTTTGAGCTTTAGATAAAATAGGTAAATGCAAATAAGAGCTGCGAGGATTATTTTTAAACAAAACATCACAAATAAGAAATAAAGATATACTGAAAAAACCACATCCTATGTCGATGTAATTTTCATACTGGAATTCCTATTTTTATAAAGCTTGTAATAACCTAGCCCCATCTTATATATCTGAAATTTTGACTTTTTCCAGCAATGAAATTCACTATTTAAAATCAGCATCACATAATGACTAAGTAAACTATTGTGAAAAGACTTTTGTTACAATGGTGCACAGATTTGGAATAAAATACCATCTTTTATAAGGCACATATTTTGAGATCATTGCTCGTATACATACTGTTGAACTGTTAAACCAGTCTGTCTGACCTTTGTAGTTTTAACACATATTTTGAGATCAAATAAATATCTTCATAACTCTGTCAATATGTCATAATAATTATTATGCATGTACATTTTGTTAAGGTGACAACAGACACTTTCCGTGGTACTCACATAAATGTCATTTAAACCAAGTTATTTTAGTAATAATTGTTATTCATTTAATCTTTGTGCATTAAATGTCGTTGATCATCATAAAAAATAACATATTTGAAAAAAATGCCTTTGTAAATGATTGATTTTGAATAAAAATCCTAAAATTTTAAATCGTCATATCAAAGTCATTTTTTATTTTTTTGTCATCAAACTTTTGGAAAATAACCATACTTATATTATCTGGGGAACCGTGTCTTAAATTTTTTATATCTTTTCTCAAAAAAATATTACGTAACGTCAAACAAAATATGCGACTTTTTTCACCATACATATTACGTAATTAAAGATAATTAAGTCGCTGATTGAGCAAACAAAAATCCCTGACACGGTTCCCTCCATAAATGAATTCCCTTTCATGTGCTTTAAACCGCATGTTAATTGCTTGATTATTAAAAAAGTTATGCCGATTCAAAGTTAGTCCGACCCGCATCAAACGAAGTGTCATAAATCGGCTGTTCTCTCTCGGACCCCTACGTTTCACGCTAAATAATTGCATAATACACAAATATCGCACCAGAGAGGGTCACAAGTTGCGGTAACATACTCTAACAACATTTTATGACCCAGTGACATCTGACCAATTAAAAAGATGCTGATTAATATCAGTTTATAGCCGAAATTTCTTCAATTCTTAACGTGATTTACTGTTTGTCTGGTATCTGTCGCACATGTCACGTGACTATCGGTAAAATTTGAGGCACTCAGTGGGGGCAAATGGAACGCATTTGCGCACCGCTAGCGGGGTATTTAATTGTTTCCTATTTGAAGTTTATTATTATTATCATCAGCATTATTATTGTATTATACCAGTGTCACTCTGCCTGTGTATTCGTGTATGAAATTCCGTTAAACTATAAAATAAAATAACAAAAAACTGAGCTTCTGACAGTCTTTTAAAGTCCATGGTAGATGTACAAATAAGAACGGGATAGTATATATTTTTTCCACCAAATTGATAATGCTTCACATATTTTAATAGAAATAAAAGGCATTACTCGATCATTATGATGTGGCCTTCTTGACTTCTATTATCATGAATATCATCTATGCACGGCATAGAGATCCAGTTTCTACCGGGATAGACAATAAATTTCATACTTTGTCCCAGATTTATTAGTACTGTGTCGGATTTACTGGCGAACAATTTATTTTCACTGAGAATATATTTTAATATCTTTTTTTTATTCATAGAGAAATAATCATCCTTAGACAATCTAAAATTGTTTAGAAATTTGTCAGGGACACCTTACCACAAGTCATATAAGCGTTCGCATAAAAAATGTCGTCTGTTGTTGTTTTACTTGACATTGTTAGAAAACGAGGTTGAATGTAAAGTAAGCCCTTGAATCCGTACAAAAGTCTATCAACTCAATGTTATATATATCAGATTAACGGGATAGACAAATTATTTTCACACATTATGGATATTTTAGCAACTACATTTTTAATCAACCCCGTGGTCGTGCGATTTGCCGCTATGCTTAATTATTTATGTTTCATACATTATGTTACGTACATTGGCCGACAATTTCTTAATTTATAAAAAAGGCCAAATGTTGAGATATTCATAAAAGATGTACGGTAGATGAACGATACATGTATTACGAGAAGTATGGACCAGTATGGACCTGTAATTCACGGATATATGGAACTACCGATTTCCCTCATTGATGCCTCAACAGGGGGCGGAGCGTTATCGATAATCGACAGGTCACGCGAATAGCAGATACAAATAGTATAGGTACCGTTTTAAATCGTTTAAAAACACATTTTTTGGACTAACTGCTTCCAAAATTAAATCACGAATGTGTTCAGAAAAGGTTGATAAATCTACTTAGCAAAAAATCTCATTTTAGGTATTTTCAGTGATAATTGACTCCGTTGTCACCTTAAAATGCAATGAGAAATAATTGCTCGTATACATACTGTTGAACTGTTAACCAGTCTGTCTTATCTTTGTAGGTTTAAAGAAACGACAATATTTCCTTTTTTTTTCTTGTAAGGATTTCGAGATCGAGGTAATGAGGAAAGAGGTCATGAATGATGTCGCAAAATATGTTGGTGAACAAATTGAAGAGCACAGAAACACATTTGATCCTACTAATTTACGAGACTTCCTTGATCTATATTTAGACGCTGACAGGAACAAGACAGATGAGGGAGATGCCATTATAAACAGTAACGAACGTTTTTCGCAAAAATACTTTGGATAATCAGGACCGGAATTCATTTGATATAAAACAGCGTCTGAAATATGTTGAATATACAAATTAGCATAACGTTATTTTTCTGAAACATAGTAAATCAAATGATCATATCACAAATTATCTCCAATTTAGCACATTTTGATTGAAACAGGATGCATTTAAAGATAAACTTTGCCCATCCTGATGAGTAAACTATTTTTATCACAGAAATTTATTTAGATATATGGAATTCTAATTGTTTGATTTGAATAAAAGGTCAAGTAAAGTTATCTTTTATTAAAGAAAACTGCCTTTTTAATGACAATTTATATTCATATTATGACCACCTATAGTGTATAGAATATTAAATATAACATATCTACTTTGTGTGGAGTCAAACCATGTGTATCTTATATGTACAAAGAGACTGTGTAGCAATATTTTCTAATATCAAGTTCTTTAAATAATGATGGGCACGAACAACTGGAAACATAAAGAACGTAAATAATCTGCCATGTCAAGTGTTTGACGCTGGCATTGTTAATGTAGATAATGCTATGTAGCGTACTTAATATCAAACTTCATATGAAACGAATTAAATACAGCTTAGTATGTTATTATTTTTTTTCTTCATTTTTGTAACAGGGGACAGCATGTTTAGAGTAATCGTTGATTTATTTGTCGCGGGAACTGAGACAACTCAAACAGCTCTCTCCTGGGCGTTCATATACCTGGTTGAATTCCCGGACGTTCAAGAAAAATGCCAGAAGGAAATTAACACGGTATTGAACAAAATATAGTTTTTTTTATGTGAAAATTAGTATTTAGTACAGTTAGTTTTACCACTTAACTTGACTGTGTTACACTTAGTCCGTTTGTTTGTTTTTTTTTTTAAATGTAATGTACCTCTAAAATCTGGAAACAAAGTGATCCCTCGGAAGCATTAATCACAACAAAATTACAGGAGGATTACAGACGCGGTTTGATTGAGTCTGTACAAAAGCATAAGCATGCATACAAGTAAGCATGCATTAAGCATGCATACAAATCACATAAGCATGCATTTTTGAATTTAAGTCACAATTTCCTTTAGGTATCAAAAATCATATTATTTCTGTTAAATGAAATAAACAACTTTTACCATTTATTCGTTCGTTCAATCAGCCGACTCTTCTTTCCTTCTTTCCTTTCCTTCTCCATGCTTCCATTGATTTATTCTTTCATTCTGTAGTGTTATTCATTGTTCGGTTTAACATCATTAAATAACATTTGACTGTCTATACGTCATGACACTTTTCAGCTTCAATGATGGCTGTAAGAGACGAATTTCGGTTTGTCGCCCCGGCTTACTACAAGCAACGACAAACACTTTGGTTAAAATCGACCTTCGGATGATGTTTCCTTGATAGCCCACTATAAATGTATACTTTACTAGCAGGAATCGAACAGACCGTGATTAAACAAATGATTCTTAGTCATTATCTTTAGCACTTGAAAACGTTAATCCATAACAATATTAAAGAAAGATTTTATTGTATTATTTCTGTTTAATTGTAGAAAGTGAATGGTAAAGCTATTCAGTACCGTGACAGAAATTGTCTGGTTTATGTAAACGCATTTATCATGGAAGTTCACAGATATTGCTGCATGGGTATGACATTTACAATTCATTTACCGAGAGAGCATGTATTAGCAAAGATTTCAGGATTGAGATCGATTTTATAAACAAAAAGAAATCAACATACATGAAATCTGTATTTATATGATTGCTTGAAGGATGTTCAATGCTTTTATTGCATTTAACAGAGGTTACACACCACTCTTCTTCACCACTTTCTTATCATAGATTCCAATACGTTTATCATTGTAAAAACTTTTAAAATGAAAAAAATTCGCGTCATCGTATTATGATATGCATATATACATGTAGCTATAACATTTAATCTTCCGATGGTTCATTGATTTCAAAGATTGCAAAATTGATTAATCAGTACAAATTGTAATTCTTGGCAATTTGCTGAGCAAATACTAACAACACCGCTCTTCTTGGAAGTCATTAACGCTCGTTTTACACGCCCGATCATTTAAGATCGTTCAGCACGACATGATTGTTGTGTTTGTGGTACTTTAGTTTTAACTTTTTTGGCATTTTTTTATTTGGAGTGGGGTTCCAATATTCATACTTGAATAATTTTGAATCACCCTAAGGATATGTTGCCTGCATTTTAATTGTGTCTTTTGACGTCATATCTGTGATATGCAGGCTTGTTACAACCTCTGATCCCCTTTCGAAATTCCGTTTAAGTTAGTTCCGCCCATTGATTTTTTTCGTTTAGAGCACACGCATTCGTGTACTTGTGGACCATGGAATGGCACTAAAGTGTCACATTGACATGGTAAACGCCGTATGAACACATCTGCGGATGTTTCTAAATTAAAATAAATCACCATTACCACGATTTAATGTTGAATTCTGCTTAAGCCGGTGCTAGGGGCGTGGAAGGTAATTTCCACTTTCCATTACCGGCAATGAACAAACTCAATCAAACCGAGCCTGCAGCATTTTCAATTTTGTCTTGTTGGAATTTCTTTAGGGATTCTTTATATCTCTCTATTTTACCCTTTTTTGTATTAAGAGTGTTACACTGAGGATACTTGTAGATCGTTAGTCTTTGTTGTTTTAACTATCACGTCTCATAAATGACATAATTTAATCTGATCCGTTTGTATTAGTATTACTTCATTACTTGCTCTCAAATGATCACGCTGCGTAAAGAAGTATAGAGATTTAAACTTCAAGGAGTATTTATAAGAAACCCTCTGTACAGTCATATGAATATGTACATTGTTGAGTGTACAGTTAGTCATCAACGGCGCTATAAAGGACAATTTGGGCTTTCATGCTGTTGTTTCGGATTGCGACCTCAATTGCTCCTTGCACTGGCAAAGCGCTTAGGTAGAACAACTAACCTTCTGGGCTAGCACATAATTGAATGCGAAGTCCCGAACTTGATTCAACCCCACATCAGTGAGACGCAATTCATTTGAAGTAAAATTTTTCAACCAGTCGATCACGGAAACCCTGGATTGCATTTAAGTATTATATCTTTATTAGATTGTTTGCTTAATAATTTATTCTGTGTCCTCAAACTTTATTTCATTTAATTTTAGTTCCTTTAAACCTGCCACATTACACAAGTGCAGATACAACACTATCTGGCTATCATATACCTAAAGGTACTGTCATACTTCCGATGCAATACTCGGTAAGCATGGACCCTAACCTCTTCAAAAATCCAGAGAAGTTTGATCCCGGAAGGTTCATTGATGAGGAAGGACAACTGATAAACAAATTGTCATTCGTACCATATTCCACGGGTAAGATTACTCGTACGAACCATTATATATGATACATAAAAAGTTGTAACTTTTCGTAAGAATTTTAGCGGTAAAATGTATGATTATATCAACCCGACTTGCTGTGTCCTTTTTAAACACCCAGCTGTACTGTCATTACGTTCGTTTGTATCAACAGGTATAGTTATTCAACACATGGAGATATTTCGAAGGTTAAACCAATAACATCCATTTCCTTATTATATATTAACACAATCTGAAATTGAACAGTTTCCCTATTAGGCCTCTATTTTTAAGAAAGATGAACCATTGACTATGTATGTCCATGCTTTGAACCACATCCTTTTTTCATTTGGGTTTGGTTTTACAGTGTTTTTTTCTCTGTTGTTGTTGTGCTGCTGCTACTGTTGTTATTCCTGTTCTCCCACAAACACCATTTAACTGTTCTAAAAAAGTCATCTCAGGCAGGGGTAAAGGATCAACCGAATTAGACATCTTGTCTTTGTAACAAAGTCATGTTAGGGAGCAAATGATTTGTAACGACCCAAGCTTAAAATACGCAAGATTTTGCGTTGAATTTTATTTAAAGTTTAACAAAAAACTGTTCTTATGACTAAAATATTGTTAAGTCTACATCTAATGACTTACCCTTCGCGGAGGCAATTACTAATTCTGGTCAAAATATTCAGAAAATCCCTTGCTCCGATTATGCCGGGATTTAATTTTGGTGTAAGAATTGCACGGATTTGCATAAGACATTATTTTCATATTGATTGTAAATAACCATTTATGTCGAAAACCATGTACTTTAATCACTTTAATTTCTTCAAAGTAATTCACTGATTTAGAGACATGCCACCAAGTTTCACCTTATGTGTAATTTGGCTAGTTTTAGTATTTGATATGGAAAAAAAAGATGAATAATAACTTGTTTCATCATTTTATTTATACAGGACCACGAGTTTGTTTAGGTGAGGCATTGGCAAGAACTGAGATGTTCCTTGTTCTTACAACACTGCTTCAGAACTTCAATTTTCTCCGTGAAGATCCTAATGTTCCTCAAAGTTTCGAAGCTGACGTCACTTCCAATACTCTTAATCGTCCACTTCCTGTCAAGATCCGGGCTATTAAGAAAAAAAGGATCGAATAATATTAACTGGCATATCTAACAAAAATAAGGAAATTAAAACGCATCATTGTTTTTCTCCATAAACTCGGAATCCAGGAATATTCAAGTTGTGTCTCTTTTTTTGTATTTTTGTGTGATTTTATTTTATTTTTTTGTGTGTTATCAGATAACTATATGCTATGTTGGAGAACACATTAACGTTATTTGCTTTCTTACTTAGTGATATAAACATGTATAATCAGATCAGACTGTATCTACAAAATATAGTTTGAACGCATTTAGACTTGTATATTCATCATTCAAAATAAAGGCTGATAAAAGATATACCCGTAATACTAATAGTTTCAAATTTTGTTGGGCAGGGGAATTATGCATATTTGAAAGTGAATATGATAAAAATAAGATGGTGATTGAATAATTATATAAATATTAAACACATTGTAACATCTGTATAAATTTGTGGACAGTTTAGGGTATTTTACAATCAAGAAACGCTGCAAAACAACCTTATCCATTACACGGTAATGTACTAAAAGAAATCGTACACAAATATTCGATTACTCTGATACATACGCATAATTTAGGAATGTTATATATAAGAAATGTAGCAGACTTCATTGTGTATATAATAACGAGTTCGTATTACGCCGAAAAATGAAAATACCATTAAAAAGGCATCTCATTCTTTTGTTGTACTTAAACGATATTGTTAAGAGGAGAGAATATTTGTCATTGATTAAAAACGTGAACACAAATGACAGCGTGTGTGCAAATATTCTAGAATAGCATTTTTGTCAAGTAAGTTGCTAAAATACAACCTCGTGTATATAATTATAAAACCTTTAAAGTGTAAATATAATTCAAAGTGTTGAACATAGAAAGCCACGTTTCTCTTTGTTCGTAAATATCTATGAAAATTTCCTAATTTCACAGTATATTTATGAATCAAAATTTATCATGTCAGACTTATTTGGTACATGCATTTTATGAGGAACTATTTTATTTACTTTATTTACTTTATTCAGATACATGTCACTACTACACATACAATTGATACTGTCTTGTTATTATTAATGATGACTTAAATTCATCCTGCATTATCCACCAACATTGTTGTGCTCTGAGATAATCGTTTGTAATGTAATAATGTCTGTCATTCGTAATCCTTCGTTATAAATATTTTTTTAGGATAACAGCTCTGTATTAACTGCAAAGTTGATTTTAACTAAAAGTAACAGGAATGAGACTTGCTTACAGAAATCATGTTTATGGTTCCATAAGTGACGTAAAGATCACAAAAAGTCATAATAAACTCAAATAATGGTGTTTCGTTAAGAAAAACGCGTTTTTTTCTGAGAACGAAAAGGGGAAAGCACGACAATACTTAATGCGACAGTACGGTTGCAAAATGCGACAATTCGATGGTGACGTACGTTGGCCTAGCACGATATAACGATGATAAAATTCCATCGTACTGTCGCCATCATACATTCGTAATTTTATGATCGTACTGGCAACTATCATTATCGTACTGTCGAATCTTTACACAAAATAAGATATTATAAGAGGAAAACATTGACCATTTCTTCGTCTGACGCCATGCTGAGTGAAACGTTTGCGCATGCTTGACCGGAAGGTGCGAAGCGATGGTAATACGCGATAGTAGGATGTTGACAGTGCGACATTACAATAGTGACAATACAATGATTAAGCGCGACAGATAGATGTTGACAGTAAGACGTTACGGTCTACAAGTACAATGGTGACAGTTTGGTGATGACAATATAACAGCATGATGGTCTGTCATTATTGCACTGTCGTGCTCCGCCATCGTACTGTCGAACTTCACTATCATATTGTTGCACTTTGCCATCTATTTTGTATGTCATTATCTTAATAATTGTTTTTTTTCCGACGTGTTTTATAAGCGTTTCTAATCATTTAGAATCATGTATAAATTAAAAAAAGTTTGACTTAAATGAGTTCGAGAACTGGCAATTTTTACAAAATTAAAATAAATATAACGTACCATACAGTTTGTGTAGTTAAATTTCGACCTTATTTCAATTGAAGCAAAATAGATTATTAAAAAATACATGCCATATTATTGACATGTGTAACTTTAATCGATTTTGTTCAAGAAAAAAAACAAATACATCTGAAAAGCTTTTCAAAAGTACTTGCATTTATTTAGACATTTTCTGATGTTGTCAAACTAAATCATCTTCATTTTGATGTTTGACAGAAATGTCTAAGTCATGATTAATAACTGTCATATCTGACATGTCCAATGAACATTTTATTATAATAGCTTATGTTCAGTAAGGCATGTATGTTTGTTTATTTATAGTAGTAGAGATGATAAATTGATACTCGATTCTCTAAAACAATATATCAAAGAAATCGTTTCATATTCCCGCTTGATTTTCTTTTGTAAAGTGGATGTAACGGATACATGTAGGTTTTAAATTCACCTTCGCCACTATATTTATAGTGGTCAATGACCTATGAACATTTAGTTGTACTACACATAATATGTAAGGGAGTTGTCTCCCTTGTTTTTTTGCTCTCCATTTGTATTTCATAAAGAAAGACATTTTGTGCTCGTGTTAATAAACAGTTATATCAAGTCTATCCCGTATTCTTGTTTACTGGCGTGGTGGCAGCTGTCGGATAAAAACCCAGACTTCCAGTATACGTGATTAGTATCGTCATTAACGAACTGGTAACAAAAATATAGCCAAAAGCGGCCGGGACGTGACAAGTAACTGAAACACGACTCGATTCAAAAAGGCTACGCATCGTGCTCCAAAACAATGGACATTATCTAAAAACGAAACAATAACATCGTTTGAATCGTGGCAACAAAACCTGCAAATATCCTGTCTTTAGACTCAAATTTTGCTCCCTTTCTGGTCGACGGGTTTTACATGGCTGAAAAAATCTGGCAACCCACTTCGTGGCCTAACCGACGATGGGGAAGCAGTCCCAGAGGCAAAACGTCGTACCGCCGAACAAAAAGTTACACACCTGGATTTGATGCTGGGACAAATTGCCAATTATTGCCCAGTTATTTCAAGAAATACTATTGTCAAGAATTCAACATCCTTATCAAATATCTGGCAGGCAATTCGACTTCATTATGGATTTCAGCGGTCAGGAGCAAACTTTTTAAACTTAAATGACATTAAATTAAAACAGATGAGCGCCCTGAGGATTTGTATCAGAGATTAATTAGTTTTGCTGAAGACAACCTTCTCAAGGCAGGTGGCAATATTACAACATCATGGGATGCCCCAACTGACGATGAAGATCTTACACCATCTATGGAAAATTTCATCATTCTGACATGGCTTCGCTTGATTCACCCAAATCTTCCAGCTCTTGTCAAGCAGCGTTATGGAACTGACCTCCGGTCGAAGACTCTTGCTTCAATTAAACCCGAGATCTCTCAGGCGTTAGACAGTTTACTGGGATGAAATTCACTCAATTAATGAATCAAAGGTTCTTAGGACTTCATTCAAATCCAGATTTCCGCCAAGTTCAAACGCACACCAACCTGCCCACTTTGTAAACAAGCTGGCAGAACACGCTACCACATTATTTAAGCAAATGTAACTTTTTACCTGACTCTGATAAACAGTTCTTGAATTCCAGGGTGAGACAGACCACGGAAGATAAACGAATTTATTGAGAATCTTTGTCAAAACCGATGACCAAGATGATCAAGATGAGCATGATATCCCTCCCGACACATTATACCGCTGTCACATCATCTTCGCGTAGGGTTAGTACTACTAAATCGCCGACAATGAAAGTTTTTTCATAAGCATTACGCATTAATTGTCACGCTTGATACTGGTGCAGAAATTAGCATGATCAAGAGTTCTGTTGCTAAAACACATTGGAGCAACTATTCAAATCTACCAGTCAAACAATGCACTTCAAGCAGATGGGTTCAACTCCTCTTAATATTACTGGGGAGACTCATATCATGCTTACACGGGGCAAAAATCATTTCAAACTTGATGCGCTTGTAGTGATAACCTTGATGTTGATATTTTAGCCGGCGTTTCATTTATGGCCTACAATGAATATCTCAGTCAGGCCTTCAAAACACGAAATCATATCGTGATAATCAGAAGATTATCTATAGTAGTTTTTGAATCCGAAAAACTGAAAAACACTAACATCCGTCATGTTCCACCGTTCGTTTTGCGTATTACCTCTTCTGCTGTAGTTTGGCCCGGAGAATACATCGAAGTAGATATTTTTTAAATAATGCTCATGCCGATTGCCACCCTTGCCATTGAGAAACGATATGATTATAGCAAAACGGTTGGGAACTGGCCACCACCTCAGTTAATAGAGGCGGTTGATGGCAAAATTCGCATACTTAATGACTCCGCCGATCCACAAAAGCTTCATAAGCATGACCATTTTTGTCAAAGTAAGACTAACTTCTCCCGTCACAACTGTCACTAGTACTTTAGATGATGCTACTTTATCCCCTGCTTCGACTCATGTGAAGAATTCCCATGACAAACACACTGCTAACTCGGGCACTGTTAACTTAGATCCTGACAACATCCTTCCACCAAAGTCTCGCTCTGAATTTCAGTCCCTACATGACCAATTTGATGTTGTTTTTAGTAGTGACATAAAAAGAGGCTACAACGGAGCTGTAGGTCCCTTTTCAGGCTAAGGTCAACATGGGCCCTGTACAACCACCCAACGAAAGGGGAGAGTACCCCAATATAATCGTGATAAGTTTGGTTCAGTTACAGCATAAATTTGATGAACTTTTGAATGTCAAGGTGTTTTCTGCCGACCAGAAGATCTTGACATATCTGTTGAATATCTTAACCCATCCTTTTTAGTTATAAAACCCCCAGGGTGGCTATAGACTAGTTACTGATTTTGCAGATGTTGGTCGGTACAGTAAGCCCCCAACCTTCTCTCTTATGCCTGATGTTGATTCTATTCTTCGCCTTATTGCTCCTTGGAAGTACATTATTAAAACTGATCTTACTAGTGCTTTCTACCAAATTCCACTTTCCAAAGATTCTATGAAATATTGTGGGTTGCTACCACCCTTTAAAGTGTGCGAGTGTACACTCGCACTGCTATGGGTATGCCAGGGTCTGAGACAGCTCTAGAGGAACTCCTTTGTCGAGTTCTAGGCGACTGTCTTCAGGACGGTATTGTCGCTAAGTTGGCTGATGACTTATATTGTGGTGGCAACACACCTGATGAGTTGTACACCAATTGGAAACGTGTCCTCACAGCCCTTTACAAGTCAAACTTGAGACTGTCACTTCTAAAACCGTCGTTGCTCCAACTTCAACAACAATTCTGGGTTGGACATGGTCAAACGGCATTATCACTGCTAATGCTCACCGCATTTCTGTACTGTCTACTTGCCCATCCCCTACAACAGTGCGTGGCCTTAGGTCATTCATTGGTGCTTACAAAGTGCTTGCAAGGGTTATACCTAATTGCTCCTCTATACTTGCCCCTCTTGATGACAAAATTGCAGGACGACCCTCACAGGAAAAAGCTGGAGTGGACTGATGACTTACATGTATACTTTGCTAATGCTCAGAAACTTATAAACACGCATAAGGCTATCGTTCTCCCTAGAGTTTCAGATCAATTGTGGATTGTTACAGATGGGTCTGTTGTCAAACATGGCATAGGTGCAACCCTTTACGTAACAAGAAAACAACAAACTTTCACTTGCTGGTTTTTTTAGTGCCAAATTAAGAAAACACCAAGTTACATGGCTCCCTTGTGAGATCGAAGCGCTAGCAATCGCCGCTGCTATTAAACATTTCAGTCCGTATATTGTTTCAATCTAAGCATAGGTCATGTATTTTGACGGATAGCAAGCCATGTGTTCAAGCTATTGAGAAACTTTATAGGGGAGAGTTTTCTGCTAGTCCCAGATTGACATCGTTTTTGTCATTAGTC